GTGAGCGGAACACCCAGCATGAGCAGAAAAACACACATACACACACACACAGACACACACACAGACACACACACACACAGACACAGACACAGACACAGACAAGCAGAGAAAAAAACAGACAGACTCACGGACACGCAGACACACAGACACGCAGACACGCAGACACACAGACACGCAGACACACTCACTGACACACAGACACGCAGACACGCAGACACGCAGACACGCAGACACGCAGACACGCAGACACACTCACTGACACACAGACACGCAGACATGCAGACACGCAGACACACAGACACACAGACACACACACACACACACTCACACACACTCACACACACTCACACACACACACCCTCACACACAAACACACACACACACAAACACAAACGCAGGCACAAACACACACGCACAGACACACACAGACACACACACACAGACACACACACACACACAGACACCCACACACACACAGACACACACACAGACACACGCACACACACACAGACACAGACACACACAGACACACACACACAGACACACACACACAGACACACACACACACACAGACACACACACAGACACACACACACAGAGACACACGCACAGACACGCACACACACACACACAAACACACACACACACACAGACACACACACAGACACACACACACACACAGACACACACACACACACTCAGACACACACAGACACACACACACACACACTTGTGAAGCGCTTCCCGCAGGAAGTAGAGGTTGAATCTGTGTCAAGCTGTCAAATGGTCAAACCTGCCGACGGGAGGTCTTCAATACCAAACCAATCCCGGGAAAAATGGAGCTATGCAGGTACACGGTCTGGCGTGCCAGGCCGCTTCACAGCACATCTACCACCGTCTTCGTTGGGCAGTGGATGGTAGAGCGCTCACTGCCCCCCTGCAAAACTGACGAATGACCGCAGGTCATCTGAAAAAACCTGGTTTTAACATTTAGACACCAGAAAAGCACAGGTCTGCAACCACGGCACGGGAAAAGGAAAAAACGCCACCAACGGCAAACACATGCTCCTGGCATCCAATTTCTGAAGCCAAGTCCTCTCGCGTGTCCGGGTGTTGGCACGTCTAGCTCTTGCCTCACACTTGTCCTCGCCTCTTGAGACGAGAGAAAACTTCAACAGTAAATGGCCTCCTTGGCCGGCGTGTTTCTTTCCTTTTTTTCGGTATCCGGTCAACTCGGCTTTGTCGCTTTTGATCAAAAAGGTCAAACTGCATGCTCTTCAGCGGGCGCCAAATCTGGAAAAGAAAGCCCTGGTTTACATGTGGCATCAGAAGGGGCACGGGCCCGCAACCACAAGAAAGGGAAGACCACCAACATCGCTTTGCAATCAGCTTGTCTCACACACGTGACTCCTTACTAGGAGTAAGTCTGCTGCTTCTTCTTCTTTTCTCTTTTGTTTTACGCGGATTATGTTCTGGATGCGAGAAACTTGCGGTGAAGTTTGGAAACTGTGTTAGCACCAAATCCTCGGTCAATGTAAATGGTCTTCAGTTGATCTAAATCACGATGCGCTTGCTCTACTGGATAAGTGTACTTGGAAGCTAGGCTCATGCGGCTCTGGATAGGAGACAGCTTCTGCGCCACCGTTCCTGCAGACAAAGTTGGCCGAGAATTATGCTCATCCTTTGGAAGCATCAACTTTACCCGTCGTTCAGCGGGCAAGACATGGACGCCCAAAAACTCGGAACTGCTCACACGTTCTAATTGCACTGGTGGCCTGTAGAAATCTAAATGGCATAGTTCCCGCGCAGGGTTGGGCGACTCAGCAATTCGCGGTTCACCACAACCAGTCTGTTGTCCACATATCTGGTGAGGAACAGGTGAGATTCATGCCGGCTCAGGAAAGAAACATTTGAGTTGCGCCACTCTTGTTCCAACATAGAGATGGCCAAATTTGCCAGCGCTGATGAAACCTGGTTGCCAATCGCAGACCCCCGAACTTGCTTCATGTGCCAACGTCCGAGTACTGTTGACTCAAAACGCTGGTTGTTCAGGTCCATGAAACATGCTTGAGGCTCGCGTGACGGGACTAGCAGGAAATTTCCAGTAAAAGGTGGCAGCAAGCGAGAAAATGTAAGTCCAGGTTCAGTGACCAACTGAGCTCTTGCATCATTGCCAGTATCTTGGTTCCTGCTGTGTGAGAAACCTCACATCACTGATCGTCAATCAAGGTTGAGTGAGAAAAACAAGAAGCCTGGTTGTTAGTAGGCTGGGACACCCGGCCGAGGCCAGGAGTTACGACACTTCCGCGAACGGTCAGCGCCGAAAGACACACTTGAGGAAGTATAGGTTGAATCTGTGTCAAGCTGTTAAATGGTCAAACCTGCCCACGGGAGGTCTTCAATACAAAACCGATCCCGGAAAAAATGGAGCTATGCAGGTACACGGCCTGGCGTCCCAAGCCGCTTCACAGCACATCTACCACCGTCTTCGTTGGGCAGTGGATGGTAGAGCGCTCACTGCCCCCCTGCAAAACTGACGAATGACCGCAGGTCATCTGAAAAAACCTGGTTTTAACATTTAGACACCAGAAAAGCACAGGTCTGCAACCACGGCACGGGAAAAGGAAAAAACGCCACCAACGGCAAACACATGCTCCTGGCATCCAATTTCTGAAGCCAAGTCCTCTCACGTGTCCGGGTGTTGGCACGTCTAGCTCTTGCCTCGCACTTGTCCTCGCCTCTTGAGACGAGAGAAAACTTCAACAGTAAATGGCCTCCTTGGCCGGCGTTTTTTTTTCTTTTCGGTATCCGGTCAACTCGGCTTTGTCGCTTTTGATCAAAAAGGTCAAACTGCATGCTCTTCAGTGGCGCCAAATCTCCAAAAAAACCCTGGTTTAACATTTGGCATCAGAAGGGGCACGGGTCCCAACCACAAGAAAGGGAAGGAAGACCACTAACATCGCTTTGCAATCAGCTCCCCCTTAGATCAATCGGCTGCCCATTTGCAGTTCCATGCATCAAAGCAAGACAATGCTAACGCCGGAAGTTTGGTCGTTTCCACCCCGAAACTCCGCGAAGCGATGAATCCGAGTCCGTCCTCCTCCGCAGGCATGGTACAGCCCAAGCAGCCCTGTCGCCAGGAGCAGTGCGCCTTAGACTCGACCAGTCTCGGAGGTTTCGGCGTACCGCTCAAGCTAAACGGAACCCGGGATTAAACCCATCCCACTAGGGGAGTGTCATCTACAAAAGTGACTCAGGGGTTTGTCAATCCAGGGTTAGCGAAAAGGCCTGCAATTGTCACAATCGGGACT